GATTTTATTTTAAAAGGAGATTGGGGGTGGGGGTTGACAGGCATCAATCTGCAAACCTTTGAACCCAGGATCTGCCTTAGACTTTCATTGTTGATCCGGACTCCTTGAAGTCACTTCTCTTTGCAAAAAAGAATTATCTAAATTCGGCTAAATCCAAAGGTATAGCCTAAGGCCTCAGAGTTAACAGGCACCTGGAAATACTTAATTATAGTTCCCAGAGAGCTCTGCCTTACCAAGTTGTTAAAGTTGCCAAAGGGGGGACTTATTAGGGTACCTCCAGTCAGTAATAACACTGAATTAATAAATTAATAAATAAATTAATATTAATAATTAATAATAATTAATTAATAACTAGAGAGTAATCACATAAATTCTCTATATTTAAGGAAAATGAAACAAAACCAACGTTGCTTTTGTTCCCTTTTTGTAGCACATAATTCCTGGGTCAAGTCAGCTGTTGACTAAGCCTTTCAGGAAAAATATTTTCCAAAGAATAAACATGATTTTGAAGCAGGTAGGAGTTCCCACCATTTCTCAACTTAATATAAAGAAGCTATAGCAACAAAAAAAAAGAGAGGTGGTTTTCCCTATATTTTTAAACCCCTATAGTGTTTTTAAAACACTATAGTTCTTCCTGCTATTCCTAAGAGCTGGGATGATAATGCTGTGTTGTTCTGAGTTTAATTTTAAAGCAGACCCAGGGGGAATTACTGTGCCTTGGGCCTTCCTAAGAGTTTCTTCCACCAACTTAGAAGACTTTGTGGATTCCACAATGCTGAAATTGAAAGTATCTACATTCTCAGGTAAAAGAAGGAATATTTTGTGACTCTTTGGAGTATTTGTGAATAAAAAATGTGCCGAGATACTATTATTATCTAGTTTCCTGAGGTTTTAGAGGGAATTGCTGCACCAGACAGCAATTTATGGACAGTTATGAAATACTTCCAGAAAATCTAGAAAAAGTAGTATACTTAGTCCTCGTCTTATGACCACAATTGAACTCAAAATTTATGTTGTTAAATGAGAAATTTCCTAAGTGAGTTTTGCCCTGACTTTTGCTGCCAAATTTATTAAATGAATCACTGCAGTTGTTGAATTAGTAACCCAGTTGGTAAGGGCATATAGTTTCCCCATTGGCTTGCTTGTCAGGAGGTTACAAAAAATGAACACATGACCCCAGGGACACTAAAACCATCATAAATATGAACCAGATGCCCAGCTTCTGAATTTTGATCACATGACCATGGGGAATGGAACCAAGATTGAA